TGATTCTAGTATAAATTAGCATGTAACTAGCATGTTTCTAGCATGAATTAGCATATTGTTAGCATGATAGATAGATAGATAGATAGATAGATAGATAGATAGATAGATAGATAGATAGATAGATAGATAGATAGATAGAAAGAGGTAGATAGATAGATAGATAGATAGATAGATAGATAGATAGATAGATAGATAGATAGATAGATAGATAGATAGATGGATACAGACAGACAGACAGACAGACAGACAGACAGACAGATAGATAGATAGATAGATAGATAGATGTAGATAGATAGATAGATAGATAGATAGATAGATAGATAGATAGATAGATAGATAGATAGATGGTGTATGAGCATGAGTCAAACAAGCCAACCCCCGCCTCTCTACGATGTTCTGATGCTGAGATATAGCTGGTGTCATATCGTTGCTAGGTTAGTCTGTTTTGTTGCTATGGAGTTGATTGACAGCTTAGACTGATGATGTATCAAAGCTTCTTGCCAGTATGAACAGTTAAAAACAACCCCCATGTCTCTATCACACTGCAGCATGACAATATCAGTTTGAACCTCTTTAATGGCAGTCTATGGGACAGTTGCTAGGGTGCAGTATCTGGTTGTTAGGGTGTGGCTAGAAAGTTAAAAGGCCATCGGTGATTGGCTGCTGGCTAGACTGAGTTAAATGAGCTCAGCCATTAGTCTGTAGCACAGTCTGATGCAGAGTTATGAGCTCACAAAGTTTGATCCCATGTAAAGTCAATGAGAGTCTTTTGCAATGGAAGTCTATGGGACGGTTTCTAGGGTCCAAAAGTGGTTGCTAGGGCGTGGCCAGAAAGTTTAAAGGTGATCAGTCATTGGCAGATTGATGGTCTGAGTTAAATGAGCCTAGTTAGAAGTCTGTGTGACATTCTGACGCGGAGTTATGAGGTCGCAAAGTTTGATCCAATGTTACGTCTATGGGATTTTTCCGACGGTCCCGGGACGTTTTTCGGAAAACCGAAAGTCGGATCAGTCGGAAAAGATATAGCAACTCGAGTCAGAATAGTTCGGAGGTCTGACCCAAGTTTGATGGTCATAGCTTGAAAGGCCTAGGACGAGATAGAGTTTAATTTTTAGTCTCAGAAGAAGAATAATAATATAGAATAATAATAATAAGTTTAATAGGATAACAGTAGTCTGGCTTGCTACACAAGCCAGCCTAATAATAATAAGTTTAATAGGATAACAGTAGTCTGGCTTGCTACACAAGCCAGCCTAATAATAATAAGTTTAAGTGAGATAACAGTATGTTGGCTTTTCAAGCCACCATAATAATAATTTATAACTCTTTGAAACGGACTCTTTTAGGGCTCTATCATACACCCGCTGCAATGTGGCGCAAGGCGCAACATAATTGTTGTTTGCTAGTTTCAGCTTGGCGCAAGAGTCGATTTGACGTTTTGCGTCACGCTGTTTAAATAGCGAATGCATTTGCGCTCAAATGCTCGCCCTTAGGCGTTCTGGTCTAAAAAGGGAGGCGTGTTGAGGCGCATTGCTGGCGCGTTGCTATTTTGAGAAACTAAAATAGACTGTTCTATAGTCCAGAACAAAGCCGGTCTAAAGTCCAGCGCAGAGCCATTATTTGTGCGCCTCTAATGATGCTCAGCTGCTTCTCACTCAGGGCTGTCTATGCTAATTAGGGAGAGATGGTCACTAGTGGGTGGGGCTTTTTCCATCTGATGACACGTAAAATAGGAGAATGTCAATCAAAGTGTTTCTGCAAACTGTTTTTATCAAGTGTGACTATAAATAATGTAAATATTTAATTTCATCATTAGATGTTGGTTATATTCACACACTGCTGCCACACAACTGTGTTTAAACCCTTTATAAATATTAATTTTGCATAATAGCCCCCCTTTGAAACTTCAGACTTTAATGGTTCATTAAATCTGATCAAACATTTTGGTTTAAATGTTTAACTTGATCATGGTTTATTTACTGTTGCTTGAAATCTTACACAGTCACAGTTTGCGATGACTGTCAGTGTCACACATTGCAATATCGACACTGAAAATTTATATTCTGCAACTCTGACTAGGATGTTTGCGTGTGTGTTAAACCGGTGAGATGTTGTCAGCTGGGGCCTGTTTCAGTAAGGAGGTTCAAACAACTCAGAGTTTAAACTTGAACTCTGAGTTGATTTACCGAGAGATTAAAAACTCTGAGTTTTCGGTTTCAGAACAGCTGATCTGAGTTGGGTCAATCCACTTCGAGTAGACCAACTCAGAGTTAAGCGCGCACACCGTGACTTTAAAAAGGCATTATCAATGGAGCGCAGACATTACGAGTGACTATGGCAATATCTTATAAAAGAGATCACCATTTCTTTCTCCAGCTGGGGGGTATTCCAGAAAGCTGGGTTAACTTACCATCTGCTAAAACCTAAACTCTCGGTTGATTTACCCAAAACCTGCTTACCGCGAGTTTGTTGGTTCCAAAACAGGTGACAAGAGTTAGTTAAATCAACCTCCTGAAGATAACCGCGGGTTAATGCGCGTGCACGGCACACACCTGAAGGCATTTTCAGTAGATCACCGAATGCACGAGTCACCATAGAAAGTCACGGTGAGAAAAAAAGGGCAACGCATTTTACAGAGGCAGAGCTGGAGGTTTTAAACACAGAGATTACACATCTGCTTCAACGAAGGAAAGAAATATAGAATAAGAAATAGATAAGAAAATAAAAAATAAATAATAAGAAACTTTATTAGTTCATTAAATTACACATGCCACCCTCCATTTTATTGTAATGATAAATTAAACTACTCTTTAACATTCTTTTTTAGTATGTTGTGTAACCATTCATGCATTTATTTTTCTTGCCATTAATTTCTTAAGGCCACAATATGTGTATTGACTAATAAGGCTTATAGAAATTGTAATCTTTCTGGAGCTAGAACTCTGTCCAAAGTCATTAAACACAGAAACATTATCATAAAAGGTAATGTTTAATTACTGGAGCTCTTTATTTAACACTCTAGAATATTCTTTCTGTCATGCAGCTAATAGACAGGAGGCTGAGGCCTGTCTAACTGCTGTGTCCTATAATAAAGGCTTTTCAGTGGTTGAGTTTTTGACTTAAACCACACACTCTGTCACTGTTGTAAGTGATTGTTGTCAGATAGCTTTAGGTTATTTTTATTTTGCATGCAGACGAAATTCCTTCTGCCTCAACTAACAAGCAGTGTAAGAATTTTCTGCACTTTTCCATATTTGAATATTACTCTTGGATCACAAAATCTTTTATCTACATATTTAAATTCTAAAGTAGCTGTATAAGGTCCATCTTCAAAGATAAAGTCACATGAGCATCACCTTAAGGTGAGAAATGTATATGAAAAATATGTTACACGTTGAAAGGTGTGTATAAAGCAGTGTACAAAATCATTCATTTTATTTCAGGAAATGAAGAAATGAACAGACCAAACTATTTGATTAAACATAGTTTTTTGACTAATTATATTTTTTTAGCACTCTTCCATCTGTTTTGTCTGCTTGGGTCACTGAGATTTCCTCTGGGTCAGGCTGCAGGTAGGGTGTCATCGTATAAGGCAGGAAAGGGTATCTTTTGTCCTCCAGCAAGTAACAATGTAGTGCCCAGTAATGATTCTATTTTATAATACAAATATAATAAAAATAAACATTGTGTTGAGCAACATTTGCTTTATAGTTTTTTTTACTATATTTGTGTTATACACTTGAATCATTACTTCCTGAAAATCAGCCATTTAGCCTTAACATAGTGATGAGGTGGGGTGTGTGATGAGCTGGTAAGTGGAAGCAGTAATGAGTTTAATAGTTGAAACACCAAAAGATTAAGGATAGAAAATTAAGTTGTACCTGCACACTTATACTTTGGACAAATTTTATATTATCAGTGTCCTTTAGTGACTGATGGAGCTTTAAAATCGGCTGCAATTAATGCACACAATAGCATTTAGAAACCCTGAAAAAAATATTATATTAAAAAATGTAGGTGTGTGTGCGTGAATGTTTATATAAGAACGACGTCCTACATCTTAAATTAAAGATATATTTTCCTACAAAAGACAAAGCTGCCACTTATAATATTATACAGAAAAATGTGAGGGTGCAGAAGAAGAGAAAAAACACAAGATCTGTAAGAGAGATTCGAACTCGCTCCGTTGTGCGCTCCGTTGTTCTTTATCGACGCACTGTCCACTACGCTATTGCCGTGCTCTGAATCATCTGTGTAATGATACGCAGTAATGTATGACCAAGGAACTGTACAAAAGTTTAAAAAAACTGTTCAGTGCCAGGCGTACTGTACAGGTGGTCCTACTGCCACATTGTACAGTTGCCTAAAATGCCCTGACGCGAATACAAAGAGCTGCACTGAATGTTTTTTATGGTAAGCGCAGACCCGCGGTTTGTCACATTTGATTTCAAAAAGGTTTGTTAAATACATTAACATTATGAATTTGGTTATGAAAAAAACTATGCACTTATAACCCTCTCACAACGAAAAAACTTGTATCTGTGTGTCCACATCCATAAATATTCTCATCAAAAGAGCACGCAATGCTCAGTAAACTCTGAAACAGACAAACTCTGGAACATAGCAACTTACTCTCTGAACATAACCTGCTACGGAGCAGGTTATCTTCAGAGAGTAAGTTGCTATGGCTATTTAACATACCCAGAAGTTACCTCCGATTTTGGAACCAAAGTTGAGGTTATCCACCTACTTACTCTCAAACTTACCCGTGTATGTCACATAACCTGCTTTCTGGAATAGCCCCCTGAACTTGATGTTCTCATGCAAAGTTATAGCAAATATGAGTGTATATATTTGAAAAGAAGCAACCATCAGTGAAGAAGAGACAGTTAGCGTGGGAAAACAGCTGCTCAAGTTAATGCCTAATTTCACTTTTTAAGTATTTAAATATTTAAGTATAATAAAATAATGTAATTTGTGACGTTTATAATTTTTTTCTAAACTTTATTTTATACATTTATTAGTTTTAAATGATTTAACAGTGCACTTGTGTGTCTGCCTTTTTTATTGATCAAGTGATAGAGGTTAATATAACATTTAGAAGGTAAGCAGTACTAAAAATAATTTTTAGAAAGAATAATAATCCCATTAATCTAGTTACAGTGCATGTCGAAGGTGAATTTAATTTAATTATTTATTAAAAAAGGATAAGCCATTCTCGTACAGTTCTTCTGTGTGTGACTAAAATGTAGGCAATAGCTATGTTTCCATCCAAATATATTACATAAATTTATGTGCAAAACTGGAATATTGCATAAAAGATGCGAATAAAATTCCATCCAACGAGTCAAAGAGAAAAAAAATCGTCACTTTCTGATTAAACTGGCACCAAATATCAACAGTAAAAACAGAATTTACTGTGGTAGAAGAAGCTGCGTCAATTAATTCTTTATTTAGCCTAATTAATGTACTTGCGCCTCGATGTCAGAAGACAATGCTGAAACACAATGAACACGTGGGGGCGTCTGAAGCCATGAGACGCGGAGACTCTTGACACGCACCAGACGTTCGGAGGTAATTAATAATATACACTAATACTGAAACAGTTAAGGCATTTTAGAATGACTAAAACAATATTTAAGACATGTTACAGTGTGCTCAACCTGCTGGTTTGTTCATTTACACACATTTTCATTATCATATGATCATGATCTTTTTTTTAATCTACATACTGTAATTTGTTCAGTAAAAGTGTTTCCATCGTAGTTTATGCGCACATTTTCTATAGAATAAAAGTTTATCCTACTCAGTTATGAGCGTTTTTTAATGCATATTTAAAAAAGTTATTTGCATCATGACGTTTCCATCAAACGTTTTTATGCACGTATCCAAAATAAGCATAAAAATAGGTGTGCGGAGACGTAAGGCTAAGGCGAGAAATACGCTTCATCTTTAAAAAAGGGGAGGAGACTGACAGAAACTCTGAGTTTAGAGAATAAAACCTGCTTCTGACCAGGTTAGATTCACAGAGTAAGTTACCACAGTAACTGACTCTGAGTTAAAGTTACCTCTCTTTCAGAAACAGGCTTGACTTACCCTGCTTTCTCCAGTTTAACAAACCTGCCATTTTGAAACGGAAAACCCAGAGTTTCTCTCATTTCAGGGTTAAAATACTCTGAGTTTTCAGTTAACCTCCTTTCTGAAACAGGCCCCTGGACTGTTGTTGATGTGTGTGTTTGTTTTCTGTGCAGATGGTTTGGGTAGCTGTGAATGTCTTTCTGTTTTGGAGAACATTCATGTTGTACTACAGCGGACCACAGTATTATTATTTACACAAGATGCTGGGGGTAAGAACTTCAGAGTTTGTCTTTTTTTTCTCTTTCTTTTTTTTGGATGTTTACCCCAGTCACCAAACCAACATGTAATTTATAAATGCCAATAGATTTTGTCATGTTCAGGACAAGAGTCATTTAGTGACACATTAGTGGTTCTGTTCACCCATAATAGTTCTGTCATAATTTACTCACCCTGTAATTGTTTTAAACCTGTTTGAGTTTCTTTTGTTAAAGAGAAAGATAAAATATATTGAAGAATGCTATATATATATATATATATATATATATATATATATATATATATATACTATATTATTTTTTTCATGTTGGCAAACGGACATCTTGCATTTCAAGCACTACAACCAAATTTTGTGGACAGTTTGTACCCAAAAGTGAGCTAAGCCTAACAAATCTTCTTTAAAACATATTTTTTTGTGTGACATGTTTATGTTAAGTTATCAAAATGAATGTACAATGTGCTTTTAGAAAAACACTCACCGGCCACTTTATTAGGTACACCTGTCCAAATGCTTGTTCACGCAAATTTCTAGTCAGCCAATCACATGGCAGCAACTCAATGTAGACGATCATGGTCAAGACGTTTTGCTGCAGATCAAACTGAGCATCAGAATGGGGAAGAAAGGGGATTTCAGTGACTTTAAATGTGACATGGTTGTTGGTGCCAGACATGCTGGTCTGACTATTTCAGAAACTGCTGATCTACTGGGATTTTCATGCACAACCATCTCTAGGGTTCACAGAGAATGGTCCCAAAAGTTAGTCCCAACTTTTGCAGCTAGCAACGCAATGACGGATCGAAAATGCAGTTCGGCAACGTCATTCAAAGTGAATGGGAAGCGTTGACGCTGGCGCCCCGTGTGAATGGGGCGTAAGATAGGGCTGTGAAATTAATCGAAAATCCGATTTCGATTTTTGGCTTTTAATGATTATGAAAAACCATTAATCGAGATAAACGATTATTCCATCACATACCGCCCCCTTTCCAGTTGTGCACGTGTTGCTATGCAAAGCTTAGTTGACTAAAAAATGAGGTAAAATGAAAGTAAATTAAGTGAAAATGAGTAAAAGCATGTGCTGTAATGTAACTTTTGCAGCACGGGATGCGCATCATTCATATTTTTAAAAGCGCGAAAGAGCACGTGCTGTTATGTGTGTGCGCACCGCGCTTAGCCTCGGACAGGTAGTGTGTGTGTTTGTGCGCGCGCCACGCCTAGCCTCGGACAGCAGAACACACACACATCTAACGCCATCTTAATGTGAGCGCTTTAATGGTCAAATACATGCACATTTGTGTCAGAGCGTGGTGTTTAGTGATTATTCATGTTAACCCTCATTTGTGTAATAAACACACTAGTTGAGAATCAAAAGACACGTGAAAGAGAAACCATATCAGAGCCGCACTATTCTTAAAGTGACAGCGTGCGATATTCCTGCTGCTGCCGACTGTTATTATCATTAATCAATAATAAAATCAAAAATACAGTGAAGATGCTTAAAGCACACTTTAAACATAACAGATTTGATAACTAATTTCTAATAACTGGTTTCTTTTATCTTTGCTATGATGACAGCACATTATATTTTACTAGATATTTTTCAAGATACTAGTATTCAGCTTAAAGTGACATTCAAAGGCTTAATTCGGGTAAATAGGCAGTTCATTGTAAACCAATAGTTTCTTGTGCAGACAATCAAAAATATATATTGCTTTAGGGGTCTATTAATATCGAGCTATTTAAATAGATTTCAAAATATTTAAACCTGCTTTTATTATAGCTGAAATAAAGCAAATAAGCCTTTCTCCAGAAGAAAAAAATATAATTGGAAATACTGTAAAAAACCCTCTGTTAAACATCATTTGGGAAATATTTATATATAAAAATTAATTTACAGAAGGGCGAATAATTTTGACTTCAACTGATAATCGTTTTGAATAATCGTGATTACAATTATGACCAAAATAATCGTGATTATGATTTTTCTTATAGTCAAGCAGCCCTAGCTTAAGGTGTACCTATTAAACTGGACGGTGAGTTTGTAATCCAAGGCATCTTTACAAATAAAGTGCAACAAGTTAAAGTCTATATGTCCTACAAAATCAAATCATAATTAAAAGTAGCAAATAGGTTAACTTAATATTTAAATAAATACAGTGCAATCAAATACAGTTGGCATTTTTGTGTAGAGTTTGCTTGTTTTTCCTGCGTTCGCGTGGGTTTCCTCCGGATGTTCCCATTTCCCCCACAGTCCAAAGACAAGCGTTATAGGTGAATTGGGTAGGATAAATTGTCTGTAGTGTATGAGTATGAATGAGAGTGTATGGATGTTTCCAAGAGATGGGTTGCAGCTGGAAGGGCATCCGCTGCATGAAACGTGCGCTGGATAAGTTGGCGGGTCATTCCGCTGTGGTGGCCCTGGATTAATAAAGGGACTAAGCCAAAAAGAAAATGAATGACAATCCTTTTTATGGGCAAACTAAAAAGGATTTATAGTTTTATAGTATTAATAAAGTAATTATAGTAATCCTTAAAAATAAGAATATAAGTAAGTAAATCAATAGATGGGGGAAAGGAAGAAAATAAGGGAAACATCAAATAATCTTTAAGTACTAATATTGGTGACTAAATTGTCACAAAGTCTCTGAAAAGGCACATAAAATAAAAATTATATATATATTTATAAGAGCATGACACAATCACATAGGATATATATCTAAAACCTCTTTTTGAGGACATCCTTGTGTCTAAAAAAGGACAAAAATAAGGTATAATACAGTCTGTGAGGGTCAGGGATCTGGGGCCTCATGTACGAAGACTTGCGTGGAAATCTTACTAAAACATTGCGTACGCACAAAGCTGTAAATGTGCGTACGCAGAAAAAATTCAGATGTATGAAACACTGCGTACGCCAAATCTCACGCATATTCTTTTGTACATCTGAATGAACGTGAAACTGAGCGCAACATGCACGAGCACAAAACACCTCCCTGCCTCCTCCCCCGTATGAATATGCTAATGACTATGCTAATGGAAAAACCCAACGAAAAAGCAATGGCAAAAGCAAGCAAAATGAGAAACTTTGAACAGAATGTGATTTGGAGGTGCTGCTTTCGGAGGTAGACCGGAGAAAAGCGGTGTTATTTGCAAGTTTGTTCTCCGGAATTAACAACAAAAGAAAAAAAATAGAGTGGGAGAGTTTAGCTGATGCGGTTAACACAGTTGGGTCTGAACATCGCACTGATTGCATTAAAAAAAGAAATAGTGTGGTTTATATCTGTAAAATATTGCAGCACCCTTAGCAGTCTCAGTGGCGCACCTCGTAAGACGCATGTGATCATGTTTTGACACGTTCGAGCATAAACTCGGTTCGAATCCAGCGTCTGATGAACTCTTTCTTCTTTTTTCCCCCGCTACATATCAGATTTTGCCTACTATTTATCACGAGAAAGACAAGTAGGAATCATCAATAAGTTTGTGCATCATATTTTATTTGCACATTTATTGAATGGAAATGTTTCTGATTCACGCATGCAAATTCATCTGCAGATAGTGTCTTTATAGCAATGTGCGTGCAGTAGATCGCTCAGATTACATTGGGAAAACAGGCGACCGCTGCAAATTGTGCTTTAATGTTTAGCTGGTCAACTGTATGGTTAGGAAACCTTACATACCTGCTAGATGAACCCGTCTTCATACAGCTGCCATTGCAAGGCTCAGACACTTTGCCTTGACACAACTGCCTCTAGGAGTCGCCAATGGAAATAAAACAGACACGCACAAAAAATGTGCGTACGCCAGCCAGAAAGCTGCCGTGAAGCTGCGGACATTCCCACGTTCAGTTCATTGTTGGTAAATCCAAACGTGAGCAATTCTGAGCGTGAAACCTGGCGTACGCAAAGTTTTTGTGCGTACGCAGCATTGATACATGAGGCCCCTGGTGTGGGGGTACGGGTATACTGTTTTTACCTGATCAACAATAAAAATCTGCACTGTGTCCACATTCAGATAAAGTCAGTAGAATTTGTACAAACTGAAACATCTTGGTCTTATGTGTTTAATTAAAGAAATTAACCCAGATGTTGGTCTTGCCAATGTTTGACTCCAAATTGTGTTGGAAATAACCCAGCATTTAGTAGTGTGCATCTAACTCAACATGCCTTTTGAGTAGAGTTTGTAGTTTATAGTATGAGATGTGTGTATGTGTGTGTGTGTTAATGTACAGATGGTGTGTTTGTGTGTTGCTGTTGTTTGACAGGATGTCCACAGCCCATCTGAGTAATTGTTGTCACAGGTTATTGTTTAATGTCCTGGAATGAAGCAGCACAGGAGACAACAGCCTTCAGAAAACACTGTGCTAGTGCTAGCTGAGGGGTTTCTGCATTGATACCAGACTTACAGTATACCAGCAGCTTTGGTGTGCGTGTGTGTGTGCGTGTGTGTGCGTGTGTGTGCGTGTGTGTGTGCGTGTGCGTGCGTGTGTGTGCGTGTGTGTGCGTGTGTGTGCGTGTGTGTGCGTGTGTGTGTGTGTGTGTGTGTGCGTGTGTGTGTGTTTGTGTGTGTGTGTGTGTGTGTGTGTGTGTGTGTGTGTTGCAGGGATGTTGTATTTCTGTCTTGAGCTTAACAGACGTGTAACAGCACGCTCATGTCTCTACAGGAAACAATGATCAAACACTGCTGCAACACACACACACACACACACACGGCAGAGAATGTCTACTCCGTTTTGGTTTTAAATCTTGATAGGAAGTGTTTAACAAAGAGGTTATGCTTTATTTTGTGCTGTGACCACTGAAAAGACGGGTCTGCTTGCTTCCAACAACCTCTGAGGAGGTTTGACTGAAATATGAATACAAGACATACTGTACCAAAAACAGGACATGACATCAAGATTATATGAATGACCAATAGATGAACACAAAATGATTAGCCCCCCAGTGAAATTCAAATGTTTTTTAAATATCAGAGTCCTGTTTACCAGAGAGGACTTTTTTTTAACACATTTTAACTTTCTGGTAACTAATTTCTTTTTGTCTTTGACATTATGACAGTACATAATGTTTTATGTGTTGCAAGAGCTTAAATAGCATTTAAAAAGCTTAACTAGGCAAATTAGGTTATATAGGCAAGTCATTGGACAACAGTGGTTTGTTCTGTGGCCATTAAAAAATTCTAATAATATTGATCTTAGCATTATGTTATTTTAACAGTATTTATTCCAGTCAAATTGAAATAAACAATTTCATATTTTATACAGTATTTATTCCCAGATGAAAACATATAATAGGAAACACTGTGAAAAATGTCTTGCTCTGCTGAACACTGAAAAATAATACAAATTTCATAGGAGGGCTGATAATTTTGTCTTCAACTACCGTGTATGTGTTTTTAGAAACGTTTATTGACAGCTCTCTACAATGAAGTCAATATAAAATAAATAAATAAATAAATAAATAAAGCACAGGGTTCAACGCTAAGGATATTTTCTACTGGCCCAATCGGGCCAGTGGTTCTGATTTTTACTTGCCCTGCCAAAATTTTCACTGGCCCCACCCAAAAAATAGAAGTTAATACTTCTTTGACTGTGTGTGTGTGTGTGTGTGTGTGTGTGTGTGTGTGTGTGTGTGTGTGTGTGTGTGTGTGTGTGTGTGTGTGTGTGTGTGTGTGTGTGTGTGTGTGTGTGTGTGTGTGTGTGTATGTGTGTGTATGTGTGTGTGTGTGCGTGTGTGTGTATGTGCGTGTGCGACCTGTCTCCTGTAGTTCTCCATCTGCGCGCGGGCGGTGTTGGCCTTGCGCAGCTCCTCCTCCAGGCTGACGGTGTTCTGCATGTCTCTGCTGTTCTTCTCCTCCAGCAGCTTCACCTGTCTCCGCAGGTCTCCCAGATCCTCCAGCTTCTTCTTGTAGGCCTCCACCTGCGCCTCCAGCTTCGACACCTTGTCTGAGGAGTGTCTGAAACACACACACACACACACACACAC